ACTAAGTTACTCTTGATGTCATGTTAAGTTCTCCTTTGGTTCCACAAGTAAACAGGCAGCACGTTGGAATGAGACGACAGTAGTTTATCCTAAGTCACCTAGGGCTTCTTTTGCAATCAACCCTCTAATTATTGTTACAATGTTTTATCTGGCGGTGAATAGTACCCGTGCGCCTCTACGTAGACGTTCACTTTGCGTGTCAAGCAAAGATAAATCAATAGTTTGCCGTCGATACATGCACATGTATCTGTGTATAAAGCGACTTATGGGAAAATTTCTCAGTGCCTGAAAAATTTTTAACACTAAATTGTCTTAAATTCCAAGGGTGTGAATAATATGCAGACCCTTTTCAACAATCAGAACATCACAGCGGTGAAACACAACACCAAAACTTGCAGACAGATAAATGTTTTATGGGGAAGGCTACATTCTCCTTTCCAGCTAAATAATCTCCTCAAACTGATATTTGTCGAATAATCCCAAGGCTTTGTGCAGGGGATTCTACAAAGTATCGGCTAAAATTATTGACCTCACCCGGGGATAGCCTTCCGGCAACTACCCCCGACCCCAAATTTTCTTACGCGAATTAAGGATGCACTTCCAGGGATCTAACTTACAACTGCAGTATATCTGTTTATTCCTATTTCCATGCTTTGAGTGCATTGGGAATTCAAAACAATTTCAGAGCTCGTACCCTGCACGTGCAATACATCCAAACTTGACATATCCATTATTAGTATATACTAAAACAGTGTATAGCGTTCAAGGCGCGCTCTGATTGGCTTGTCAAATTCCGAATATCCTTTGCTATTTACCTCAGAGCAACTCGGGAAAATATGGTTTCCCGGTTTGCATCCATGACAAGCGAGGAAATCACTCAAATTAACAACGAAGCAGTCCCTGAAGACGCGAAGAAAGTGACTAAACTTGGTTTGGCCGTGTTTAGAGGTAATGGTTTACGTCTTTAACCCGGAGTTTATCGATAAAAACCAATGCGAAAGGTTTTGTTTACAAATGCAAATTAATCTTGCGTACCCTCACTTGTGAACTTGAAAATCAAAGTTGAATGAAATTTTTTACAGAATGGTTTCAAATACAGAAAGAGCTTGCAGCATTATTTGAAGAAATGTCGCCACCAGAGCTAAACAAATGTCTTCAGAAACTTTATCTGTCAGCGAGAGAACGAGACGGCAGTTTTTACAAGAAAAAGTCACTTACCGCGATCCGAGCTGCGTTGGATCGTCACTTTAATTTGCTGGAATGTATAAATTAAAATCAATTTTGGTAGTGTATATTATCTCACTGTTTTAGTATATACTAAAACAACTATTCACCTCATTGTCGGAGCGGCGAGGTAAATATCCATCGCTAACCACCTCCACTTCGGTGAATATTTGTTAATTAACCCCTTTTTCCATTTTTCATCAAATGTGGAAATTCTCGAAAAAAAGAAATAAATCCTGACAATTTGTCCAGCAAGTAGAATATATCCTAACGTGCCAAATCCAATCTTCACCCCAATTTTCCACTTTCTCAATCAACTCTAGAAACTTGGGGTTAATTATGACAATTCATCCTACAAGGGGTAATATCGTAACTTTTCCATATCCAATCTTTACCCGATTTGTTCAATTAACTGTAGAAAAACGGGAATCGTGACAATTCGAGTGGTTAACAGCATGACTTGCCATGTCCAATCTTTACCCGATTGTCCATTTGTTCAACGAGTTCTAGAAAACCGGGATAAGTTCTGACAATTCATCACGCAAGTGGAATATAACCTTAGTTGCCACATCAAATCTTCACCCTAATTTTCCATTTTTTTTTTCGTTTATTAGAGACAAGGTTAAATTTGACAACTGATCCCACATGTGGGATACATCATAGCTTTTCATGATCATAGTGAATCTTCACCCTGGTTTTCCGTTTTTTGAGTAAATTCTGGAAAATCGGGGTAAAATCTGAGTATTCAACCCATAGGTGGAATAAAACCTAACACGTCACATTAAATCTTTGTCCCGTTATTTTTGCTTTTCTCCAAGAATTCTGTAATAAATGGGGTAAAATCGGACAATTCATCCTGCAAATGAAACATGTCCCAACTTGTTATGTGTAATCTTTATCCGATTTTCATTATTTTCAGAGAATTCTAAAAAAAAAAAAAATTCATGTCATAAAAAGAATATATTCCAACGTGCCGAATGAATTATAACTCGGTACATCCCTGATTTTCAGTTTTTTTCTGATAAATTCCGAGAAAACGGGGTTAATTCTGAAAACTCACCCCATAAGTAGAATACATTCTAAGTTTCCATATCCAATCTTCAACCTGGTCTTCTATTTTTATTTCAATGAATTCCAGAAAAAAGGGGGCCAGACGGTAAGTTATGTGAAATTATACCTTAAGCGGAGTATATCCTAGGTTGTCATATCCAATCTTTACCCCGATTTTCCTTTTTCTTTTTAATGAATTCATTCCAGAAAAACAGGACGAACTCTGATAATTCATGCTACAAGTGGATAATACCCGAAGTTCCCAAATGCCATCTTTGCTTCGATGTTCCAATTTTTTTTTCAGCGGTGAATTCTACGATTAGCGCTAATCGTTAGCCCCTTAAAATAAAGCAATACGCAAATAGCTTAATTGTAATTAGGAGTTTTTTATAACGCCGACCCGCTTTCAGTAATTATTAATGAATTAACTTGCATAGAAATTCAAAACTTAGACACAACAACGCGCTATATAATGTACTGTTCCTCTTTAATTGTAATCATTCCCTAAAGAAGTCTCAATTGGGGACGAAACGCGTCCGAAATAAATGAGAAGCTTACAGCTACAAAAAGTGTTTCTTTGTGCGGCTCGCTAGTCTTAGTTAAAATGGAAGATAGAAAAAAAATTACGCATTTAAAAAATGTTTGTGTTCTCAGTGAATTCTAGAAAAGCGGGATAAATTCTGAGAATTCGTCCTTCGAGTGGGTTAGATCTTAGAGTGCCAAATCCAATCTTTTACCCGATTTCCCATTTTTATTTCAGTGTACTCTAGAAAAACGGGATGAATTTTGAGAATTCGGTCCACAAGTGGCTAATACCTTAGGTTCTCATATGCCATGTTCACCCCATTTAATCAGTGAGTTCTAGAAAAACGAGGTAAATTTTGAGCATTTATGCTCCAAGTAGATAATACCCAAAGTTCCCATATGATATCTTTACCCCGATTTTCAATTTTTCTCAACAAATTCTAGAAAAACGGGTTAAAATCTAAGAATTCATCCTCCACATGAAATAGACCCCAAGTTGCTGTATCCAGTCTTCAACCCCATTTTCCATTATTTTCGATGAATTCTGGAGAAACGGGATTAATTCTGCGAATTCATCCGCAAGTGGCTAACACGCTAAGTCCCTTGATATGCCCTCTTTACCCCGATTCCCATTTGATCAGCGAATTAATTCGAGGAAAACGGGGTAAATTCTGAGCCTTCATGTTACAGGTGAATAATACCCGAAGTTCCCACATGCTATCTTTATCCCGAATCTCCAATTTTTTTTCAGTGAATTTGACAAAAAACAGGGTAAAATCTAAGCGTTCATCCTCCGAATTAAATAGATCCCTAGTTGCCATAGCCAATCTTTAACTGGATTTTCCATTTTTTTAATGAATTCCAGAAAAACGGGATAAATTCTACGAATTCATCCGCGAGTGGCTAACACTCTAAGTTTCCATATACCATCCTCTTTACCTGGTTCTTCCATTTGATCAGCGAATTCTAGAAAAACGGAGTAAACTCTGTGAGATTCATCCTTAAGGTGGAATATATCCTACTGACTTGCCATAGCCATCTTTACCCCAATTTTCGATTTGATTATTAATTATGTGAATTTGTCGTAAACGGGGTAAATTATGACAAATCCACCCAAAAGTGCAGCAAATCCAACAAGGATTTAGAAACAGCACTAAAAAAAGAGCAGCTTAAATCAGCGGAACCGTAATGACATTTAGAGACAGAACTAAAAAAAGTACAGCTAAAATCAGCGGAACCGTAATAAAATCCCATCGCAATCTACTATTTCAAATTTTCACAATCTGCTACTTCAAATTTTTGCCATACAGAAAAAACCTATGATATTCGAAATAAACAAATGAAGGCCAAACTTTTTTAAAAATTTTTTTAACATGATCGATTGGAAGTTGCTCATACGTGTCAAATTTTCTACTTATCCCGACCCCCTTGAATAAGCACTTTTGCTTGAAGACATAACTGCAACGGAGTCTCTTACCAGTCCCAAGCCGCGTGTTGCTCTATAGATCACAGGATATGATTTGCCATTGTATCACATTACGTCAGAGGACATATCTACAACAAAAGGACATAAGTGCAACGGAGTCTCTTACCAGTCC